ATCAAGGCACTTCGTGTCAGCCAAAAAAACACAAGGCCTGCTTATGCATTATTCAGCTTATGGTGAAGCAAGAGGGAGCAGCATTTATGTCCCTGTTGCAATTCCACATCCCCCTGCCCTGTATAATGACAGTGTGTGGAGCATAGTTGTCTGCAAAGGAACTCATCTGTTTGAGCAGCTGCTTGTGCATCGGGACACCATGTGTGTGAGTGGCAGCTCATGTGTACAGCTTTACTTGCAAATGACTATGCCCAAGCCATGGACATCAGAGGGCAGGGGCTAATCCAGGGCTAATTTCTCCCCCACCCCCCAAAAAACCCCCCAACAACAACCAGGTTAAGTTTTTCCTGGGACAGCTAACAGTATTGTATACACCTCTGTTTGCAGGAATATCCATGTGGATAGTCCATATGACATCAGCCGGGCACCTGATGAACTTCACTACACCTATTTGGACACCTTTGGCCGTCCAGTCATAGTTGCGCACAAGAACAACCTAGTTGAACAGCACATCCAGGATATTGTGGTAAGCATAAGCCCTTTGCTTAGATAGCATAAATAATGAGAAATACCACGCTCATCTTTGTAGCCCAGATTGCTCTCTAGCAAGTGACATGGCTGCAATAGCAACAGACCACGTTCATAGATCAGTGAAAAGATTGAGCTTCACTGTTGAGTTCTGAGCTGCGTCTTAAATGTCCAAGTATCATTGTTCTTACGTATAGGAATGTAAGGTGGGTAGCATGTCATCTTGACTAATGGAAGTTTATGCTCTTCTCACTGCTTGCCCTGCTCTTCCTTAGGTGCACTATAATTTTAACAAGATCCTGATGCTGCAAGAACCTCTCCTGGTAGTTGGAGCCTTCTACATCCTGTTCTTTACAGTGATCCTCTACGTGAGGCTGGACTTCTCTATCACTAAGGTACTGCAATAGAGGCACAATGAAACAGGGAGGATGCGGCAGGAGGGTTGGTCTCACTGTTTCCTTTGGGAGAGCCCTTTCCTTGGTATTAAATGCCCTTGCACTGACTGCTGCAGTACTGGATTCGCTGCTGTTTTTATGTGAGGTAGCACTTACTCTTTTTGTAAAATATGGATATTTTGCGAGAGCAAGCTATTATCTTATCTTTATATCAGTGGTGCTCTGAGATTTAGTAGTTTCTTAGCATAGGCAAAGTATACTTGAAATACATTAATTCTTTGAGTCAATAAATGAGCATGTTGTGTTAGGGCTTACCTTTTTCAAAGCACTGCTAAGATCCAAACTGGCCAAAATTCTTCATCTATTAATTTTCACGGAATGAAGTAGTTTTTTAAAATGGCGTTTTGGTCCATGTTTTAATTAATTTTGATTCAGTCAAGATGGCTTGCACAATGGATATCCTTGTTTTGTTATTCCATACAAGTCTAATTGAAGCAAATGGAACTCCTCAGTGTTTCTTGTTTTTGCCACTTTGCTTCAAACAACTATTTTGGTAAAGTCTGTCTGACGAATTTAGCCAGTGTAGTGAATAAGCGACTGAATTGTGAACTAGGAACTCCTTTGGTTTAGATCTTGCCTTCTCCCTTTCGACTCTCTAGATAGATTTTAGGTATGCCAATCTCTCTGCCTCGGTCTTTTATTTCCAAGGTGGAGGTTATGCTGACAGATCTTATAGGGTTGTTGTAAGGACTACCGAGAGAGCACACAAAACACTTTCTGGACACTTAGAATGCACTATATACTGTAACAAGTATTTAAGCCATTGTGCTTTTGCAGGACCCAGCAGCAGAAGCTAGGATGAAAGTTGCCTGCATCACAGAGCAAGTTCTCACCCTGGTGAATAAGAGGCTACGTCTGTACCGCCATTTTGATGAAGCTGTGAATAAGTATAAGCAGTCACGGGATATTTCAAACCTAAACAGTGGCAAAAAATCATTGGAGACTGAACATAAGGCCTTAACCAACGAAATAGCTTCATTGCAGTCCAAGCTGAAGACAGAAGGCTCTGACTTGTGTGACAAAGTAAGAATCCGTTGGCCTCCTTAGTGTGTATTGTTACTGTACTGCCCTTATTCTAAACTGCCTTTTCTCTTGTCATTCCCAAGGCAGATATTTTCCTCACACTTTAAAGAAATTCTTTTTTGTTGCCTTTGTTCTGTGTTTACAGTGTTTTATGATGATTCCAGAATAATACTGTTAAAGTTGAGATTTCTAGGTTCCTTGATAGTTTTATTTCCAGGCATTCCTCCATAAGGCCAGAGAGCTTTGGGGGAATTTCCTCCAGTTTTCATTCTGCCATGGCTTTAAATATTGCGCTACCTGTATAGAATATCTAAACCAGTACTGTCGACTATTCCAGCTTGCTGAGATGCATTGGCCAGGGTCCTCCACCACATTCAGCCAAGCCCTTCTCTCAGTGAGTAGGCCCTGAAGGTAGCAAGATTGCTCCAAATGTTTTAATGCTGTGTGGGGAATACATCAAGCCCCTCTGGCTGCATTAAGTCTTCTGGCTACCACTTACCTAACATGCCTACTGCTTTGAAATGGAATGTTTTTTTGTAAGCTGCTGCTCAACATTGGTGAGCGAAGCCTAAGGCATCCTGACTTCCCGATTTTAAGTTGTATTAATCCTTAGGCACAAATGTGGTCTGCATGTCATTCTCTTAGCAGACCGCTTCTACTCTGCTTTGAGTGAAACTTTCACCCACAATAGGAGATCCATTCAGTGGATCACCCTGAAACTGTTGGTGAATATAGCTATCTTGAAGATGGACACTTTTGCCAGGATGTCAATGCATAACTTGCAACTGAAGGGCTGTTAATGCATTCTGCTCATTAATACTCAGCTGCAGTTAGCTGAAAGCTCCCTTGGTAACTGGGTGGAGGGCTGAATGGAGGGGCTGTGCACACACACGGTAGCTGTTATCTCTATATATTCCTCTGCTGATGTTTTGCTATAAAATGGAAGGAAGGTTAGAAGGCATTTCATTTCTCAAAAACAAAGTATGAATGAAATGTAGCATAATCAAGTGCTCTTACGACCATGGAACCAGCCCTGACATGTTTGTTGCAGTGAGTGTCCATATTCAGAACCATTAAATGTAAAGTTTAAATGGGTGTAGCTTCTAACATAACATTGTATAGTTTGTCATATACAGTTGTACCTTGGTTTTCGAACAGCTTAGTTCTCGAGCCCTGCAAAAACCCGGAAGTGACCATTCCTGTTTGCAAACTATTTTTGGAAGCCAAATGTCTGACGGGGTTTCTGCGGCTTCCATGCATTGGTTTTCAAACGTTTTGAAAGTCGAATGGACTTCCGGAATGGATTCTGTTCGACTTCAAAAATATGACTGTAATTGTTTGCTTAGACGCTGCAAATCTACTACTTCTAGGGTGACCATAAAAAGTAAAATGAATGCACCCTGTTACTGTTGCTTTGTATGGTTATGGTGTTGTCCAGTCACCTAACGTTTTGTCCCAAATTTCTTCCAAGGTTAGCGAAATTCAGAAACTTGACAGCCAAGTAAAGGAGCTGGTCCTGAAATCTTCTGTGGAGGCTGAGCGGCTGGTTGTTGGCAAGCTTAAGAAGGATACATACATAGAGAATGAGAAGATGCATTCTAACAAGCGTCAGGAGCTGATCACCAAAATCGACAACATCCTTGATGCGCTATAAGTTAGAAGTAAAAAGTTTGGGAAAGAGCTAAAAGGGGTGGAAGAAGGTTCAATGAGCATACTGAGCCACACCAAGTTGGGGAATGGGGGGGGGGGAGGTGTGTCTAGGCTACAAAACTGCGGCAAGGAAAAAGTTTTTGGAAATCGCCTCCAAAATGTGGTATTAGTCACTTTTAGGACCTGTTTGCTCTGTGATACACCTACTATACAGAAGAGGTGTATTTATACCATGCCTTGGACTTAACTGAAACCATAGTCCTCAAAGTGTTAGTAGCACGACTTCAAAGTCTGCTGAGAGGCCCCCTAATTTTCAGTAGGGAAGCATGCACACAGGTCCTGTACTGGCACTGAATGTCTCAGTCAGAGAATAAATACAACTGTTTTATTCAAAGGTTTGGTAGCAAATCTTTCCTTCTGTCCTCCACCTTTGAATTTATACTTTTTTATATTTTGGAGATGGGGATACGGATAAGTAACTTGAACAAAAGATTTTTTTTTAACTATTTGTCGCACTAAATGAGATTCTTGTCCCTGAACTTTCTGAGCCTCTTTTGAAATTCAGTGTTGGGGTAGAGTCCAGGGAAAGAGAAGGGAGTGGGTGAGGTTCATTTGCTTAGAAGCCTGTGCTTTTCCTCAGACGGTTGGTTTCTTTTAAAAAAAATTGTAGGGAAGATCAAACTGAAATAAAGATATATGGATCTTCTGCCTCTATTTTCTTATTATTAGAGTGTCCTGGATTCCTGTAATGAGCACCACATTATGTTTGATCGGCTATCTTTATCTCATGCTCCATCTTGTGTAAGAATTATGAACCTCTAAGCTGTTAAGAGCTTTTAGAATTGTTACTGCGGTCAGTAACAAACTGACTTGCATTAATGCTGGTTGTAGCAATAGTTGGATCTTCCTATGAATGTGTGTGATTTTTAGGTGTTGTTTGACCTGGTCAAAACTCTGTAGAATATACTTCAAGATGTAATGCTGAATCACCTAATAATCAACCAGTGCAAAATAGCAGGGAACTAGCGGTTTCTGATGTAGGATTCCATCACTTGGAAGTTTTGTAGGCAGAACCATTTTTGTCAAACTATATGACTCCTTTTCCAGAGAGTTTAACACACATTCCCCTGCTCCTTCTCGCTTTTTAGAGGGGGAGGAGAGTGCATTTCCCAGGTAAATTATTTCTGAGGTTTTCCCCCCCCTTCATTGTGCCTTGAACAGCTTCAGTTTTTATTTCATTTTTTAATATAGCATGTAAGTTGCTGCGGGTGGACAAAAATTCCTAAGATTTCTCTTGCCACTGCACACAACATAGATAAAATCACAGGACAAAACTGGGGGATCTTCTTGTCATTGTAATGCATTGGTTCACAAAAAGTGTGTTATGAGAGGAATGAGCCTTGTGTGAAGAGCCAGTTCCCCCTTGAGGGAGTATCTATTGTTACACTATAAATAGCTTGTGATTTGGTTTGACCTAGTTTACGCACCAGATGGCGCCAAGTTCACTGGAAAGCAAGAAGTCAATATTATGTTAACTTCTTAAGATGAGAAGGTAACTTCCACCACTGATTTTTTAAAATACACATGTTTATCTTGTAGTGTTGATTCCCCTCCCCACATAGCTTCATACCATGCAGTTAAGCAATCACTTTTAAGTGTCAGCCTCATTCATGTACACTGACTCTTCACACAGTATCTACATTTGCCCTACAATGAGAATTGCAGCAGTAGCCACTGAGTTAACATGATAATAGCTACAAGACTCTGCATAGTGAAGTTCTCTCGGGGTTAAAACTGTGGCTGGCAATGTGAAAGGGCTCACAAATAATCTGACTGCCAAATACCTAAACCAGGGGTGAGGATCCTGTGGCAGCACTCCCAAAAGTTGAATTCTAACTCCATGATTGGGGATTGTAGGAGTTGTAGTCCAGCAATATTTGTAGGACTGCAGGTTTCTCATCCCTGGCCTAAAGCTTAACATTTAAAAGTGACTTCTGCCTTAAGAACCTTGTTTAGGGAGATACCCTTCTTGCCATCTCTGTGTGACCTTGTAAGTGAATGTGTCCATCATTTGAACTGTAAGGATAAATTGAAATATTTGTCCAGTTTATAGAGGATCTTAAGATCTTAAGTTTCCATTCATGTACCACTTCCATCGAATGACATTTATGAGATAAGGAGCTTGAAAGCAAGGCACTATTTAGCTTTTAAGGTAAGGAAAGGGTAGCCTGGGCTGCATTACAAGATAGGCAACTCTTAAGTGCACAGCTGTCCATCTCTGCTTCCTTACCATTTGCTTTGCCATAAGGGTACCTTAGTTTTTGTAGCTTCTTTACTCTTTCGGTGCCTGAGGTACAGTGCTCTTGTAGTTCTGAATTATCACAGTGCTAATTAGTATGATGCTCTTGCCAGAATGAGGAAGATACGATGGCCTGATTTGACTCAAGGTAGTCTTGAAGTGTCAGCTCCCATCTGCCCTATATCATTCTGGCTCTGAAGTCTTTGTTGATTGACTATAATTACAGCATATTGGTTACTCATGAAACACCGGTTTTGTGCCAAGGAATTATCAAGCGTGAGCTTCAGGCATCCTAAACCATGAAAGTGCCCCCAAGGGACAGGTGTAGTCATGGTATTTGAACCACCTGATGTCTCTAATTTGTTTAACTCCAGCCAATTCTATAGCTGTTGACATTTAATAGTGGGAGGAGTTAGAAGCCGGAGTCTTAAAAACCGAGGAAATAGAATGAAGCAAATCTGGTTCTCATGCTCTTGCAGGTAATCGAGGAAACTGCTCCTACTACTAGTTAACACCCCCCTGACTTTGTACCTCTCTGGATTTTAGGCTCGGGATTACTTACAAATGCAAATATTTTTAATAAAGGCACTTGGTGGGCTATCACTAACACTATTTCAGGCCTTTAGAAGCATGTCTAAAGCAGTGATTCCCAAATTGGCTTGGAGCACACTAGTGTGTGCCACCGAAGAACCACAATGTGTCTTGAAGACATTCTGTTGGAGGCAAACACTCCTGCATTTCTTTTAAAATGGGGGGGGGCCTTGGACATCACTCATTCCCTAGCCTGCTCTATATATGGGTCAGGATACCACCCCAAAGGAGTAAGGATTCATTCCCTGTTGCTGCAGCCCAAACTACAGGTCAGGCATTTCTTTTTGCACAAAGGTTATCTGAGTACTTGCTTGGCCTGGATCTGACAACCTTTGGCAGAAAATACAAGAGCAACTTTTAACTGCTAGCCAGTACTCAGGAAAAGCATATTAATCTTCTGGAAGTCACTATATAATTCAGAATGCTGCTTCTTATTCCCTGCAATTTAGCGCATCCCCATTAACTTCTGGCTAAGTAGCCCTGGCTACCTCTTTAGGAATAGAGCATCGGAAAGGTCCAGATAATTCAACAAGGCTTTCAGTCCTTTCTGTAGAAATCTGAATGAGGGGTTGAGCTGAAGTAGAATACTTTGGATACATTATTAAGACCTGTTCCCTTTATATGAATCCTTTCCAGATAAATTGCTCAGGTGCCCACCGTAAGCCTAAAGAGCAAGCCATGAAACAGGGTGAGGCAAAGGTGATATGTGTGTCCAAGCTACAAAAGGATGTTTGTAGCCACTTGCAAAACAAGTTCCCTTGCGGGTGTGTTCTGACCCAAACATGAATTTCACTCTGGAGTATGGAAGAATGGCAGATATAACTCAACACTGCCCACGATCATGAGATGGGAAAGGAAGGGCAGTGACTGAAGTTGAATGTAGAATCGGGCATTTGTGATTGTTACAAGAGCTGTGGGCAACTTGGTGACTCTGCTCCTATTTATCCTTTGTTTTCAGTGTATTAAGATTCTCCACCACAAAGTAGGACTTTGTCCTGTTTTGAACTTGTTTTTCCCAAGTCAAATCTCAGTAGCAGGTTATTTTCTTTTAACTTATCTCTGTAAAGTCTCCCTGCCGCAAGTCCACATGCACCAGGCATTCTGGTTGTAGGATCGTCTTAAAAGCCGATGGGCCTTGTTTTCATCTCTGCTTTCTTGAAGGAGTACTTCTGATTGGTCCTTTTGTCAACCAGAATGTACCATGTTCCCCAGTAGATGCCGCTGGTCACCCCCGTGTAGCGTCCGTGGTGGTACTTCCCATTGAGGTTGGCTGCCAGGCAGGAGTCGAACCACCAGCCGGCCCCATAGTACGCACCGCAGTTGCCCATGGGGTAGTTGTCGTTGTCGCTGTCCCAAGTTGTGAAGCACTTGTGATCGTGGTTGTAGTTGCGGCTGTAGCTCAGGGCGTTGCCTGCACTGCCTTGATACTCCCGGGCTGTCAGGCGATACTTGTGAGCCTCGCTGGCCACTTTGAATTTGCGGTAAACAGCATGGCGCTTGACACCATGCCAGTCCTCCAACTCTATGCGCACGACATGCTGGCCCAGGCGAGTTAAGCTGTGGAGGTGCTCATTGCCCAGCCAGTGCTCCCCTTGCAGGCTCCCAAATCCCTGCCTGTACTCCTGCCAAGTGCGGTTGAAATCCACAGAGCCATCCTGCCGGCGCTGGAACACGGTCCACCCGCCACCATCTGTGACCATGTCACAGTAAGCCTGGCAATACACAAGACGAAGGTTAATCGGCAGAAGCACTGGAGCGCCTGAAAAAGAGCCCTTGCTCCAGCCCACGGAATCAGGCTGTGACATCATGCTCTCTTAGGAAATTTTCCACTCTGCAGGCAACATCAAGTGCTTAAACAGGTTTAATGGTCTTTGGCTGCTCTAAGGAACTATTTTCATCAGTGGGGAACAGGGCTAAGGAGCTCCAGAAGTGAATTCTCATTACTCTCACTAAATAACCTTTGAAAACCATGGAGATATGATTAATGGTAAGTGGCAGAAACTCACCGCCTGCCTGTTCATGCGCCATTTTGGAAATTTTATTTTCAGCGGTTTAGATTTGCCGTATTTTTCGCTCTATAACACGCACCCGACCATAACACGCACGTAGTTTTTAGAGGAGGAAAATCCGTAAGCATGCCACCCGTAGGCATTTCCTCCATAACACGCACAGACATTTCGCCTTACTTTCTAGGAGGAAAAAAGTGAGTGTTATGGTGCAAAAAATACGGTAATTATTTTTGATTCTGTGGTATCTGTTCTGTGCACCATTAGTGCCGGAATGTCCTATCTGGGCATGCATTTATTTTACTAATTACTCAACTGGATAGTAGCTGTTCCCGTTTTAAGAACCACACACTTAGCATTATGTTTTCAGTGGCCGCACTTAATCTTTCTTGCCATGGGGAACATATCTAACCAGGTTTTTTTCTTGATAGGGGACTTTGCAAAGTCCAAGTCTAAAAGGAACTTGGGGACACACTTTGCTCATGGGGAGAGAGGCCATAAGTGCAATGTTAAAAAGGATAATTCTCACCTACTACAGTGGTACATTGGTTCTCGAATGTCTCCATTGACAAATGCCGAAAACCCAGAAGTAAATGCTTCCATTTTCAAAGATGCCTCGGAAGTCAAACGGCTTCCGCTGTGTGTTTTTCAATTTTCTCAATTGAATTGAGGCTTCTGTATTGAGTTTTCAGTTCTTGAACATTTTTGAATGTGAACAGTCTCCTGGAATGGATTAAGTTTGAGAACCGAGGTACCACTGTACCGCCCTTTCAATATATTTTGATGGGCAGGTGTATGAAGGTTCTAATCTGCATCAATGATGGCAAGGGGGGATATTTACTCCAGATTCATTGATGCAAAGTAAAAGCTGTATGATCTTAATAAGGGAAGCAATCTACACTGAGTGAGTGGGACTTACTTCTGAGTAAGAATACACAGGATTGCATAGCAGATTATCCTTTACAATAGCAATGCAGAGGAGGATGAATAGAGAATGCCCACTTTAGGAGCAAACCAATGCAAATTTTATGTATGGCTACAACTTTTACATGCAGTAACACATACCAGTGGAGCAAGGAGCTGAATGCATATTGCAATTGTGCTACCTTTGGCCAAACGGAGACCCAGTTGGCTGCATGCATATCTTATTTACTCCATTAGATAAGACACCTCAAACCTACCTACCTTACCTCAAAGTGTTGACGGAGGGGAATGGGTTGGATGGTGTATATCCCATTGTCTCGGATGCCCTGTTTATGGATCTCTGCACAATCCCGAGGATACGTGTGCTCAGATTTTTCAGAGGGTTCCACTGAAAGTACATAGGAACATAGAAAGCTGCCTTAGACTGAATTGGACCATAGTTCCGTCTGGAAGGCATTGAAAGGTGTAATAAACCACAGGGGCCTGGCAATGAAAACAACAGGTCCTGGACATATGACCTGTCTAGCAGGGATCTTTCACCTAGAAACTGTTACATGTATGCTAAAAAGGACCCCTTTTCCTGTAATATGAAGGCAGGGGCAAGACGTACATACTTCTATGAGAGTAAACTTAGATGTTTGGTTGGCGAGCAGGATTGCACCTCCAGAGAAATCTTGGGGCACTGCTGCCTGCTTCAACATGCTATTGGATATAGAAATCAAGGGAGGTCTCCCCAAAGAATTAATAAATTATCATGTGGTTCCGGCCAATGTGTATTGGGCTTCACACACTCAGACTGCCTTCAAACATAATGTACAATAGGTGGGTTCTAGGCAGAGGTGGGGAGTTGCATTTGCACACCTGGAGATCCATGTGTGTAAGGCATCATTTTCCTCCTGTGACTTGACCAATTTGAAGTGCGAAGCCATTTCCTGGCTTCCCCCAAAGCCCGTATTTTCTCCTCCTTGTTTTGGCTTCATTTTAAATTGTAACCGTCTGCATTAAAGCACCATGTATATTGATGGTGTTATATAAAAAACACATCTTAAGGAATGAGAGACATTGTAGTTTTAATTAATCTTCAGCTGTTGTGGTCTAGCGTAATTTAATTTGGGTTGCAAGTTTATGTTTATGCTGCCTCTGTTGCAAAGAAATATATATATATATATATATATATGCAGGTTTTGGTGTCCTCGGGTGTCTTCCCGTGTAAAAGTTGGGGTGTCTAGGCGACGTTTCGACGAGGTCTCACTCGTCATCTTCAGGCTGGTGAGACCTCGTCGAAACGTCGCCTAGACACCCCAACTTTTACACGGGAAGACACCCGAGGACACCAAAACCTGCATTCCTGTACCCGTGAAAATCTACGAAAGCAAATATATATATATATATATATATATATATTCGTTGTTAAATATTAAAAATTAATTATTATAGATTTTCTTTGTTTGTAAGCCAATCAGGGAATGTTTATTGAGTGGCTATATAAATACTAAAGGCACCGGAGGCGGTGATGAATATCCAAAGGCTCTTTTGCTGAGTGCAAGTGAGGGCATCCCATTGCCTTTTTTTCTTAAAAAAGGTCAGTTTATTTTTTTTAAATTGTATTTCTCTCTCAATAAATGGGATCAATTTACACCAGCTCTTGGGCTGGAGTAAATTTATTCAAAGTTTTGGCAGTTTCTAGGGTACCAGGAAGGATTCAAATCTTTCGGACCTAAGCCTTGCTGTCACACTCCTTTGGGGCACACACTGCTCTGACACACACCCTTTGCGGCCCTACTGATGATGGAGTCCCAACATCAGCAGGGTCACAAGACTATGGACCATGATGGAGAGAGGGGACCTGGTCTCCCTCTCAGGTTTCATACGATTGTAGTCTAAGTTACATAATAGATTTATACTAACCTGTAAGTGCTGGTGTCTCCTCAATCTTGTGCTCTTTCCCTATATCTGGGAGATAATTTGGAGTCTGTGAGTGAGATTACTGCAAAGCTCTTGAGAAAAGCCACTGCCCACTCTATTCTCAATAGTCTGTGACTGAGCTAGTTCAATGCTGTGTTGTTATACAGATTTGCTAAGTGTTTGGATAACTTCCCCCCAGGCATCAAGGGAGTTCTACATCCCAAGTGGAACATTCAGATTCATTTTTCTCTGTGAGTGCCATTGGCGCATGGCCCCCTGCAACATATGCCATTCTTGTTTTTGTTTCTCTTAGGGTGCCTTGGGACTCCCATTATTTTGTGGGATGGATTCAAGCACATACCAGAACCTGAGGTTTGCACAGTTAAGGTGAACTAAAGGGCTCTGTCACCCTTAGGGCAACAAATCTGAAAGAAAGAAAGAAAGAAAGAAAGAAAGAAAGAAAGAAAGAAAGAAAGAAAGAAAGAAAGAACCAGACTTCTAGCAGTTTGAAAAGTGGCAGGGAAGTGCACTGAAAAATATGGGACAAACAAACGCCTAACAGGAAACATCCCACAAACAAATCAAGATGAATGCAGGCCCAGTGCTCACAAATGTCATAGATAATCACCCCACAAACCATGCTCAATAAAGACCTGGATATAAGACAGGGATGGGGAACCTGTGGCTTTCTTGGACTCCAACTTCCATCAGTCCCAGCCACCTTGGCCAATGCCCAGGAATGGTGAGAGTTCAAGTCCAATAACACCTGGAGGCCTACAGTAGTTTAAAGTGGGAAACATTGAAAAACACGTTTGTGCATTTCACATCTGAGGACCCGAATGTAAGCCCTAGGCATCTAAGGCTGGGAAGTGGATATTTTCTGTCATCAGCAGCCTTCCCTAAGATTTCATCAGGCCTCCTCCCCTGCCACTAGATAGATCCAGGATCCACAGAGCTTCCTGTGTGCAGGCGACGAGATGCCCTGATTTCACAGCATCTGGTGCTACCACTAGCTCTGCCTTTTTGACTCTGCTTCTGGCAGCAAAATAACTTGGGCAGGCATTGTGCCGCCTGCTCCCATAACAGCGTCTTTGCATCGCTGTCCCTCTTGTTCTTCTCTTGCTCTGGTATAATCAGGGAGGATGTGGAGTGGGAGAGGGCACTATCTGAAGGAAATGATGAACAGTGGGGGGATTGTGTCCAACAGAAAGGATTGCATCATCGGTCAGCCTGATAGCCATAAATGTCAGCCGCAAACTCTTCAAACATATTGCTCATCAATACAGCATCCATCTGTCCGGAAATTCCTGGCGGGACACGGACTGTTGAGATGTCAGACATCAAAAGAGAAAACGAGTGGAACATCTCAAGCAGAAGAAGTGGGGAGGGGGAAGGAAATAATGAAAAATGGTGGAGGAAAAAGCCAGGCAGAGGCGGAATGAGGACTCTGAGGTTTTGAAGGCTTTGCCTGTCCTCGTTGAACTGAAGTGGGAGACAAGACACATTCACAAGACCACTTGAGTTCATGGTGGCTTTGATTCAGCAGTGTGGAGCTGGTTAGGTGACTGCTTTGGTGCAAAGCAAGCACTGGGATTTTCTCCATGGTTTATTCTGGCCAGGATGTAGGTTCATGACAATGCCAAGCTCAGCTCACTTGGTATGTGTACTAGGTTGGCCTTGTGAGACTTAAGCATGGGCTTAAATAGGAATATGGCCAAGGGTGGAACAAAGGAGCCTCAGGAAAACACCCTGGAAGCAAAATAAATTAAAACAATTCTTTTAGAAGATAGTTAAAAAGACTCTTCTTAAAAACCTAAAAGAATCAAGTCTTCAAAAAAGTTATATGATCTAAGAAAGTCTTTAAAAGAATCCTTCCAAAAGAATTTAAAAATTATAATGTAGCACCTTAGAGACCAACTGAGTAGTTTTAGGTATAAGCTTTCGTGTGTGTGCATGGTTTTTAAGAAGAGCCTTTTTAACTATCTTTTTAAAGAATTGTTTTAATTTATTTTGACTATGGCAGACCAACATGGCTACCTACTTGAACCCTGGAAGCAAATCAAGATGAATGAAGAATAAATGTTCATTGTCATAATAACCACCTCATAAACAGAATGAATGCTCAGTAAAGACCCGGCATGGTCCAGCCACATCGTAAGATTTGCACAAGGAATGCTGTCTCTTTTTGCCTACCTCGTCTCCAGGTGCAGCATGACCAAAGCAAGTCAAGAGGGCTGCCTTGACGGGGCCTGGCCTCCTTCCCTCCCTGCTCAGCACTCCAAGCTCTGTGTAGGGGGCTGTATCCCAGCAGACTGCTGTGAACTATTTACAAGGCTTTATTTAGAAATTCATAGAATTGTAGAGTTGGAAGGGACCACGAGGATCATCTAGTCCAACCCCCTGAAATGCAGGAATATTTTCTCCAGTGGTGGTGCTCGAACCCACAACCCTGAGATTAAGAGTCTCATGCTCTACTGACTGAGCTATCCCTCCTTGCTCCCAACAAAAAATAGTAAAAACGCAATACAACATCACACACTAAAAACTTCCCTGAACAGGGCTGCCTTCATAGAATCATAGAATCATAGAGCTGGAAGAGACCACAAGGGCCAGAGAGTCCAACCCCCTGCCAAGCAGGAAACCCCATCAGAGCACTCCTGACATATGGTTGTCAAGCCTCTGCTTAAAGACCTCCAAAGAAGGAGACTCCACCACACTCCTTGGCAGCAAATTCCACTGTCGAACAGCTCTTACTGTCAGGAAGTTCTTCCTAATGTTTAGGTGGAATCTTCTTTCTTGTAGTTTGGATCCATTGCTCCGTGTCCGCTTCTCTGGAGCAGCAGAAAACAACCTTTCTCCCTCCTCTATATGACATCCTTTTATATATTTGAACATGGCTACCATATCACCCCTTAACCTCTTCTCCAGGCTAAACATGCCCAGCTCCCTTAGCCGTTCCTCATAAGGCATCGTTTCCAGGCCTTTGACCATTTTGGTTGCCCTCCTCTGGACACGTTCCAGTTTGTCAGTGTCCTTCTTGAACTGTGGTGCCCAGAACTGGACACAGTACTCCAGGTGAGGTCTGACCAGAGCAGAATACAGTGGCAGATGTCTTAAAAATCACACAGCTGTTTATATGTTTCACATCTGCTGGGAGGGCGTTCCACAGGGTAGGCACCACTACCAAAAAGGCCCTCTGCCTGGTTCCCTGTAACCTCACCTCTCACAATGAGGGAACTACCAGAAGGGCCTCAGAGCTGGATCTCAGTGTCAGGGTGGGACAATGGGCATACATAGGATTCCCAGGAGATCTCCCCTCCAGGCACTTGCCAGACAGATCTGTTTAGCTTCAGCAAGGCTGCAGCACCATGAGCCTTCAGATCACACCCCACCCCAACCTGGACTTTGTTGTTTGTGAAGAGAGAGAAGAGTCTCTCTCTTTGCAGACAGGCTAATGGGAAGTGGATAACGCCCCCGCTGTACTCACCAAGAATGGATGCCTTCAGGACTGATTCGCTGCAAGGCAGCTTGCAGCCAGAGAGGATCCCCAGCAGCAGGGCCACCAAAGAGCTGAGCTGCTCCTCTAAGCGGTGCAGATTAAGCCGGCTCTCCTCCTGCAACTTCTGTAGGCCTGATGCCATGGAAACCACTCTGGTTTCCACCAAGCTGAGTCGGTCCATCAGGGTCCTGGTCCTGGAAGAGCTTTGTTTGTTGAGCTCTCCAGCGTGCTTCAGGATCTGCTTGAACTCCATCTGCTGCTCGCCAGCAGGGACATCCTGCACCTCCTCAGGTACTGCCGGCTCCTCAGGCCCCAGGACGTGGAGCCTGCAGCTCCCCAACCCATCACAGCCGCCTTCCGGAGAAGGGAGAGGCATGGCCACCAGGGACCCTGCGCATGCTGGGTTGTCATCTCTTTGGCTGCACTCAGGGCTGTCTGAGTTCAGGCTTCCTGACTCTCGCAGAACCATAAAGAGGAAGCCCAGGCAACAAAAGCACTTGCTGAAGCGGGGGAAGAGTTTCATTTCTCTCCTTAATGCCTCGCGAGGGGGTGGGAAAGGCACACGCAACATGCAAGAAGGCACAGGCTGGAAGCTACTGCAACAGAGCTTCTTCTGTCTCCGCAGGCAAGCTGCCTCTCTAGGCCGGGAAGGCCACTCCCAGGCCGGGTCGGGGCAAACTGCCTCGCCGAAGAAAAAGTGTGGAGATTGGGGAGCTGCGAGGGAAAGGAGGAGGGAAAGGAGAGCGGCACACAGATAAAGGAGCATTTGAGACTGTCCAGCAGATTAGCATGTCATGGGCAATTAAAGCTAGGCCCCTTGTGGGAGGCAGCGATTAGCGTCTGGCTTGAGTGAGCTTTGCTCTCCAGCAAGAGGGCTTTGACTTGAAAGGCCTGTAATTTGCCTTGACATTAAAGGCACGAGGAAATCACCCAAATGCTAGCAAGGGAGCTGAGGAAAAGGAGCGGTAATCTCTCGCAGTGCTTGCTGGCCTTTGGCACAGCGTGGCCACCCACCCACCACCCATTAAGCAAGGCATGTGCTCACAGGCCTCTTCACGCTCCAAGGCCAGAAGGCGTCATGTGCACAGCCCTCCCATGCCAGACTTGACAGGCTCACTTCATCACTCCCCAGCTTTCCGCAGTTGCACCGACCAACTCTCCCTCCTTTGGGAGCAGCCTGGACCTCAGATCTCTAAGGCCTCAGATCTTTAGAGCGCTTTGATACCACTTTAAACAGTCATGGCTTTTCTCCAAAGAACTTTGGGTGCTGTGGTTTGTTAAAGTGTAAAGACCCCACTGGGTTTCCACCCTCATCGTTCAGCCCCGTCACTGAGGTCCAACTCCGAGGGCCTTCTGGCAGTTTCCTCATTGCGAGAAGCAAAGTTTCAGGGAAGCAGGCAGAGGGCCTTCTTGGTAGTGGCACCCTCTCTGTGGAACACCCTTCAGATGTCAAGGAGATAAACAATCATACGAATTTTTTCAGACATCTGAAGGCAGCCCTGTTCTGGGAAGCTTTCACTGTTTGGTGTTTTGTTGTGTTCCTTTATACTTTGTTGGATAAAGCCAGTCAGATGTGTGGGGTACAAAAAATAAAAACCATCATCATCCTCACCATTGTGCAGGGGTTCTGGGAAGCAGTTCCAAGCAACCCATGTCCAAAGAAAGTAAGCTACCACTTTCTGATACCCTCTCATACAATTATCAGTGATATAGTCCACTCTTGGAAGTTACAAAACAATGAGCGGCCCTTCTTCTTGGTTGATGTCTCTTATCTCCTCCCCTTAAGCGGACAACTATGAATCTGAGGACACTAAACAAAAGTAGGATACTGTTTCTCATTTTAATTAGGTTTTAGTGAAATCCTTTACATCTCTACTTAGAAGAAATCCCCATTCAATGGAGCTTATCCCCAGGTAAGAGGTTATATAGGATAACAGCTTTAAAACTCTGATGGTGTCTAAAAGAATTAAGCAAATGACTGGTCCACCCCACTCTTTAAAAACGGAGCAGGAAGAACATACCAGCTGTTGGGATGTAGTCTTAGCATCTTCTTAGTTGTGTACCTTAAGAGCTCTGTACAGTTGCCATATTTCATACAGTGAAAATCTGGACAGAAAAGTTGTTGAGTTTTTTGGTCAAAGTTGTGGAGCTTTCATTGACAAAAGCACCATTTTTGAGCTATTTTTATGAGAAAATGGCACTGCTGGCATGGGCTGCCATATGTCCAGATTTTCCAATTTCTGCCCGGGCACTGCTGCCGACTGCAGTATTCTGTATGTCTGGGAAATTCCAGATGTATGGCAACCCTACTTTTAGGCTTGTGAATCACATAATCCGTGCTCTGAGCTAATGTACAGTCTATGTCCTGACTTCTTGAATAAAGCTTTTGGGTTTCCTCAAGCTGAGAGTCCAAGTACTGTGTCTGAGAGTGGGAGCTAGGACACCTACAAGGAAATGGATGCAAACAGCATCACTTTTGGGGGTTCGCTTTCTAGCTGCCAAACTAGTGAAGAGAAGTAGTTCTGTGCCATCTAGTGGCCAGAATGCTGCACTGTTCACCCAGTTTATCTTCAACAAGCTGTTTAATGTACAGAGATTGGAACATGGTCCTCATGGACCATTTGGCCCACTTAGCTCTGTGTTGTCTAAACACTCTGGCAGTGGCTGTCCAGGGTTTTGAGACAGGGAAATTCCCATGTCTACCTGGAGATTGAGCCTGGGACCTTCTGCAGACAAAGCACATCCTCTATCACTGAGCCACGGCCCTTCCCCTGTTTCAAAAAGGAATGGATTGAATTATAATGATTGATTATCATGCTTGATTCTTCCATCCAGCTCTCATGTACAGTCTGGCTTTCACGACAACGCCAGTTTCTTTATCACGCTCCCAACACCAAAGACCATTTCACGTGTCCATTTCCCCCAACCACGTGCGGTTGGGAAAAGTGTGCATTTTCCTGGGAACCATTAAAATGATGAAGTACCTGGTCTTCCCATTGCAGTAAGACACAGGCCTCAGAAAGGAAGGAAATGAGCAGAGACGGCAGCAAGAGGTGCTGCTGTGTGCACATACTCCCATTTATTCCACATCCAGTGTGCTCCCACCTCTGGGTGTATACACCACATTTACCATGATCCATTTCTATTCTGTACCTATCCTGTTGTTTCTTATGAAGTTTGGTGCATTGATATGTTTCCCCCCCCCCAAACCAGCTTTGATCTGAATTGAGTAGAAGAGCAACCCAGCTGTGTTTTAAGCTAGCAACTTGTACACAGCCTACAGCTCCCTGTCAGCCCTGACCCTTGGCTGTGCAGGCTGGGGCTGATTGTTGTCAGAGTGCAATGGCATCGGGAAGTGCCCCTTGCCAGCCACCTCTGACTTAATCCAAACAGGTATGGCAGTGAGAGAGCAGGGACATATTGGTAATAGTCCATCATCTAGTTAGGAAGAAGAACCTAAGGAAAGCCAAAGGGCATAGGAGGTGCTATGCAACTCATGCAAACATATGCCAAAGACATATATGCCAACTTATAAGCAAACAATCTTTTTTTTTTATATTTAGATAAGAATACATTCACCCAGAAAGGTTCGATTCTAGGCTAGACGAAAAGTCCACAGAACAGATCCAAGAAGGGGAGAGGGAAGACCCAAGCTGCAGCTTCTTATTCATTGCTTAAGGAAAAGGATCTAATCCAGTCATTATGCTGGGGGGCTTAAAATTGCTCTCTTTTTGGGGGGTCTCATTACAGAGGTTTTAGCTTGTTCTTCAAAAATGTTGAGATTCACAAGGTGTAGTGGCTTCAGTTTTACCACTAGGGGGACGCACAAATGATCCAATATGGTCATACCAAGTTGGGAAAACATCTAGCCCCCTCTTAGCCAACTTGATCAGATTTCTCCCAAATTTCAGCCCTTGACATAAAGCCGCCTGGGGGACTCGTTGCTTCTTTCCTGCACATACAATAGAAAAACAAGAGTGAATAATGGGCAGTGACAAGGCAGGACATCTTTTTTTCCTCTCTCTCCCCCCAACCCGCCGTCCAATTTGTCTTCGAGGCTGACATAGGAAAAAACCCCAAATTGCCGCTCTCGCCTTGCACAGTTTTACCACAGTATCCTGAGAAGCATCTGGTGTGGAGCTGATAGCACAGGGGGGGTTCAGGCAGGAGCCCCAGCCGGAAGCCGAAGAGTTAGCAGCGGTTGGGGACCCACTGCTTCTGTCAGGACGTCAGACAGGAAACCTTACAATGGCTCTGAAGTGAAGGCTCTCTGGATCCCTGCCACTGTCAGTTCAGAGAGAGGCAGACACGCCAGCCTCCCTGCCAGGGACAGCAGAAACCACTCAGAACCATTCCCCGAGGGCCATTTTGTGTGGCTCAACCAGCAAACCATTGGGGCCATAGGAAGGCACTTTGGGTAGGTGGAATAGTAAGAATTACCCACATTATCCCAGCCCATAATCCTTATCCTTATGTGCATAGTGACAGCCATGTGCAAAGAAGCCAGGAGCATCATGTAGCCTCTTCTCCACATGCCTAGGATATGCTCCTAAGCAGCTGCATGTATGCGTAGCCTCCCGGGAGGCCTTCATCCCATTATGAAAGTCTGTTCAAGTGAAACTTTTAGGAAACAGATCATCGAAGCAAGATTGCATTCCCTTGAGTTCACCCACCTGCCTCCACTTATTTCTGAAGACCAAGCTCCAATGTGCATCAGAGCCTTGAACGAGAGCACCAAATATGTGCCAGCAGAGCTCAGTGGGATACCCCTGTGTTGCCCACATATCTGTGTGGAGGAGGAACATTTATTGATAGATAGACAGACAGAAAGAAAGGATCTCTGAATGGTTTCCACTTTTTTAAAAAAATGTTAAGGTGGTGCAGAATCCAAAATATGATGATGATGATGGCAGAGCACCATTGTGATGGATGGAGCCATTGCAATGGTTATTCCAACCTTTAGATCAAAGCTCTGCGATGAACATTGTATTCACTTTTATGGAGTGGGGAGAGTGTCTGAAACACTGAGAAGGACTGTTCCTTAAAAAGGCTGAAGGCAGGCATATTGCTGTAGTGTTGCTTTAAGGCACTTACCTTGAATAAACCATTTCGTCATAATGTCACCCAGGATTCCTACATGGCAAGCTTGCTGTAGCAGCAGCAGCAGCAGCAGCAGCAGCAGCAGCAGCAGCAGCAGCAAAGCAGACCATATTATGTTGTGAAGTCTAATACTGGAAAATGTATGAATGATCACCATCTCCTAAGTGTCTGCATGCATTTTCATCCATTTCCACCTCTATTTGTCCTCTAGTCTGTAAGCCTGAAACTCTATGTCAGGGGGTGTCAATATGGTCCCCTCCAGATGTTGTTGGACTACAGGTGCCATGAGCATACATGACCAACAATCCGGGATAATGGGAGTTGTAACTGAACAACTTCTGGACGGTATCATATTGTCAATCACTGCTCTATATGACAGGGTAGATAGATACAAATCACTAAGAAAACACGGGAAGTCAGTTTTTTAAGAGATACTTTTAACTGGTGCTAATCATGTCAAAAACGTTTCCATTAAAACATGTACAATTAAAAAGAACACATACCCCATTTCAGGATTGTTACTTTTATATCATTTTTAAAGATAACTTTCTTTAAAGTCATTTTAGAAAATGGTTGCATAATTCACAACTTCTTTAATGGCTAATTTTGCTTATTTCCTGTGCATTAGGAATGTTAACTAGAAGTACAACACACAAAAAATGGCACATATATTCTTTGCTTTCTTTTTAAAGACGACTAAGGGTCCAGAACTGCCCAGAAGAAAGAGCTTGGAGTGTCTGGGTAAAATAATGTATTCCAATAAAATTATAAAGAAATGCCCACATCTAGGTTG